ATGAACTTCTGTTGACTGGGTGACAGTTACTTGTGAGTTCATTATACATGAAAACAGAAGATAGTCTTTGCATCCTTTCATATGGATGATATCATGAATAGATGATATTCAGGAACAGCCTGAATGGACCAAGGTTCCCAGAAGGGATACTAAAATCAAACCATAGGAAACAAAATAAAACAAGAAAGTAAATGGTCAACAACAGAAATAAAAAATCTACACAATCATCATTAACTTCTATGACTAGTGACAGTAACAGAATTTGAACATGCAATTTCATTTTTCCTGGAAATTCCAGCTACATGTAACTTAAAAAAAAAAGATATATAGAAAAGGAATTACAATGGCAAACTGAACATCTCTACTTCCTCCAAAAACTCAACCAAAATGAACAGATCTCAACACAAGTGAAACAAGTCTGTAAAGCACTGCACAGAAAAATGAGGAAACATATGGGTATGTGTTATGTATTCAGTACAAAAATACCAAAAAAACAATTGGATAGAACAACAATATCCAAAGTTAGGAGTAAAGTCTGGTGTAGTGGTGAATATCTACCATCCTAGCAAGCAGGAGGCTGAGGCAAGGGATAGTGACTTCAAGGCCATCTTGGGCCACAGAGTGAGATCAAGCTCAGATTGGACTGCATAGAGATCCTGCCTCTAAAAATAAAAAAAAATAGAAAAGGTTTTGAAAAGAAGAAAAAAAAAAAAAAGATTTCTAATTGGGCATGATGGTGCATGCCTGTAATCCCAGAACTAGGGAGGCTGAGGCAAGAGGATCACCATGAGTTCAAGACCAGTCTGGGCTACAGAATGAGTTCTAGGTCAGTCTCAACTATGTAGTGAGAACCTGTCTCAAAAAAAAAAAAAAAAAAAAAAAAAAAAAAACAAACAAACAAACAAACAAACAAAAAGACTTCTTTGTAAATCTGTTTAAGATGCAATTATTTTTTTATGTCTCATGAATCAGTAACTGATCTTATGTAACCATGGATATTACAGGAAAATTCTTAAAAGAGTGAATCAGAGGTCCTGCAAATAGGAAGAATTAAAGAAAAGCTGAGGTATTTTCCAGAGGAGAGAATTGAGAAAAATTCTGGATAGTAAATGTTGAACTCTTCCAGGACTTTTTCTGGTTCATTTCTAGAATTCTGAAACATAGGAATAAAATATTCAATGAGGAGAGTAAAAAGGCAAAACTTTGAAAGCCCAACTCCAAATTCTAGAAAACAAGGTAGAAAGAAAAAATTTGTTTAAAAATTTTATGATTTAACCAATATATATCATGTAAAATTACAAATTCCCAATGTTGAAAGTCACATATTATATATCTAAAATGTGCCAATAAACTTAATAATTTTAAAAAATTAATGTTTTAAAATTACCCCAACCTAGCTAATGTCAGTATTCAAAAAGGCATCAGTAGGACTACACCAAGGATGAAAAATCTTTTGTTGTGGCACATATTGTAGTGACACTTATAAACACTGAGATTATACACATTTCCAAAAACTATACAGAGGATTTAAAAAAGGAATACAAATGATATAAAATATGTATGTATAAGCAAATAATATGTTCATAATATTTATAAAATGATGAGTGTTTCTTATACAAATTCCACCTATAGCTGTACTGTATTGCTAATAGTAGCAATAGTAACAGTAGTAGTTCTGACTGTAAAGAGTATTTAGAATGAAGTTTTTCCAAATGTACAGGTGCAAAGTTGCTTGTTGAAACAAAATAATATTATTGAATAATGTTTAATGTACACAGAATTAAATTATGTTAACTGCATTTGGGATAAAGTTTATTTTGCCTATTAAGATTCTTAAATTAAAATATACATGAGGTCTTGTACAATAATGTAAGATTATCTTTGTGCACTTATCTTCTATTGCAGATGTGGTTTGCTAGATCCATGTAGAGAGGAAATTGTTCCTTGCTAAAACCACCTGAGGATGAAATTAAACATACTTTAACTGCGTTGTGCCCATGGGAGGTCTCAGAAGCATCTGTTTGTATAAGAAATGTATGAATTGCTTTTCTTACCTCCTGAGGTGCTTCATCATGATGACTTGTATTGAAGAAATATTAAGTGCTTTGTATCTTTCCTGAATGAATTTTAAAAATAAATGAGATGAATAAAAAATAAAACCAAATATAATCTCCAAAAAAGATCCAAATGAGAAGAGATTCAGAAATATATTTTTCAGTTCATTGAGTCATTAACAATTAATAAGAATACATCCTTTGAATAGAAGAGTTTGGGTAAGTACATGCAGATTCCAGTGAAAAGTTGGTATGGACCAGAGCAGCTTGGCTATAGACATATCCAGGATAATACCCTAGCCACTTGGACTTATAAGCCTCAGCCAAGATCTACAGGAAAAAGAACTGCATAGGTACACAAGCAACAGCCAGAGGTCCACCCTTATATCACTGGTAAGTGCAAACAGACCTTAGCCAGAAGCCCATATAGACACCAATAACTGGGGTGCTCAGCCCTCAGCCAAAGGGCTTCCCAGACAACAGCTAAGTAGGAGGGCAGGCCTCAGTCAGCGGTATACCCAGGTATCATCCCAAGTGCACACAGAGCCCAGCTAGAATCCCACCCAGACAACAGGACCACACAGGGACCAAGAAAGCAGTGAGGCTGAACCCAGGAATTAGTGCAGTGGTGAGCAGCAAAGAAAAGGCCACACTGTGGCTTGTAGAGAAACAGACAACTGCATGAGCAAAAAGTTGATTCAACAAAGGTGCAGCAGACTGCATCTGTTGAAAAGAGAAGACTCACAAGTATCAAAACCAGACTTCCAGATCACCTAAGGCAATGACAAAGGGTAATGAGATGGAAAATATGATACTCAGCCACCTGGACTCCCTGAACTGGCAACAAAACAGGATTTGGAAAAAATAAAATCAGAATTAATTTTTCAGATAACAATATAGATTGTGCCCATAGTGCAAGACATGATTAATAAATATGCAGCAGACATATAGAGAATCCAAAGAACATGGCGGAATTCCAGCATAGGAAACAAATGGAATCCATAAACAGGTGCAAACAGAATTCCAGTACATTAAAAATTACACCAAATGTTTAAACAGAGAATGAGCTGATATAAGGAATGAATTTCGGATAGAGAAGTCAGGATTGTAATCAATGATGAGGAAGAAAACATTCTTAAAAATAATAAAGGACAACAAATCAATCCAGCAGCTTCTAGATGTTGCCACAAAGAATAACATAAGACAGATTGGACTCAATGAAGAAACAGGAGAGAGTGAAAATGACATGAAAAATTGTTCACAGAAGTAATGGCAGAAACTTCTGAAGCAGGGGAAAAGAACTTGACATGCAGTTAAGTGAGACACATAGGACTCCAATTAGCCATGATCAAAAATTCTACACATAGGCATGTAATAGTTAAGATTTCAGAAAGCAACAGAAGAACAAACTCTACAAGTATTTAGAGAAAAGAAACAAATCACATGTAAAGGAAATCCCATCAGAATCACAGCAGACTTCTCAGCACAAACCCTCAAGGCAAGAAGAGCTTAAAGTGACATATTTCAAGTCCTAAGAGAAAACAACCTCCAACCCAGATTGATGTTCCTGGCAAAAATCTTTCAAAATTGATGGAGAAATGAGATACTTTCATGACAAAGAGAACCTGAGGAACTTCATGAGTACCAAACCAGCACTCCAAAATTTTTAATCAATATTGTAGTAAGAGGTAATGAGGATCATGACTTCAAGAAGCCCAGCAGAATTAATCCATCAGACAATAAGAAATTAAATCTAAATTGGGAGAATAAAAAAAAAATCATGACAAATACAAGTCAATAGGGTACATATAATTTATAACCATCAATGTTATGGGTCTCAATTCACCAATCAAAAGAAATAGACTGGCGGAATGTGTCAGGAATCAAGATCCAACAATGTGCTTCCTTAAAAAAAATTAAAAAAGAAACTCATAGACTGAAAGTTAAAGGGTGGAAAACAATACTCCACAGGAGAGGAACCCCCCCCAAAAAAAAGCAGGAGTATCTATCCTCTTTGCAGATCAAGTGGATTTCAAACCAACACTAAGAGAGACATCCTTGTAAAGGGAACAATCCAGGAGGAAAGATGACAATCATCAAGATATATGCATGAAACACTAGTGCTTCAAGATATATAGAACAAATGCTAGCAGACATTAAAAAAGTCAAATAAGCACTAAAGCAATAGTATTAGTACTTCAATACCCTACTCTCACAAATAGATCCACTAGACAGAAAACAAACAACAAAATACTAGAACTCAATCAAACTCTTGAACAAATGAACTTAACACGTTTACAGAGTGTTCCACCCCACAAAATCAGAACACACACACATTCTTTTTGGCTGCACATGCATCATTCTCCAAAATAGAATGCTGATTTGCTTATAGAACATGTTTAAGTAAGTGCAAAGGAATTGAAGTTATCCCCTATATATTATCAGACCATAATGCGATGATATTGAGGATCAATAGCAAAAAATACTGCAAGAATTTCATAGGCACATGGAAATGGAACAACTCATTTCTTACTAACTAATAGGTCACAGAGGAAATTAAAGAAGAAATCTGACAATTTCTACAATTAAATGGAATACAACATATTGGAATCTATGGAACACAATGAAAGTAGTCCTACAAGGGAAATAATAGCAATTCTTACCTACTTTGAGAACCTATATGCCAATAAGATGGAAGATACAAAAGAAATAGGCATATTCCTAGAAAAGTATGAATGACCAAAATTGAATGAAGATGAACTAAAAACTCTAAGTGACCCAATATCAAGCAATGAAATTGAAAATGTAATTGAAAACTTATCAACTAAGAAAAGCCCAGATGGCTTCACTGATGAATTCTACAAGACATTTAGAGAAGAACTATTGACACTATGTTTGATCACTTCCATAAAATTGAAAGTGAACCAATATTCACAAATTCATTTGTGGAAGCAATCATCACCTTAATCTCTAAAGCAGAGAAAGACCCAACCAAAAGAGAAATATAGGCCAATCTCACTAATGAACATAGATGCAAAAATCCTAAATAAGATCCTGGCAAATAGTATGCAGAAGATAACCAAGAAGATCATACAGCCTGACCAAGTGGGATTCATCACAGGGATGCAGGGATAGTTTGACATATGCAAATCAATATATGTAAAACACTATATTTACAGAGTCAAGGAGAAAAACCGCATGATCATCCACATAGATGCAGAAAAAAAAATTTTGATAAAATCCAACACCCATTCATGATGAAAACCTTACAGAATATTGGAATAGATGGTCTTCATATCAACCTGATAAAAACCAACTGTGAAAAACCAACAGCAAACATCATACTAAGTTGTCAAAAACTTAAATCCTTCACAATAAAATCAGGGATAAGACTAGGATGCCCACTATCACCATGACTCTTCAATGTAATTCTGGAAACAGTAGCTACAGCAATTAGACAAGTGAAAGAAATAAACATAATAAAGATAGGAAATTAAGAAGTTAAATTGTCATTTTTTTGCAATGACATGATATTCTATATAGATGACCCCAATAACTCCATCAAACAGGTTCTAGACTTAATAACCAATTCAGTAGAGTAGCTGGGTAGAAAGTCAGCCAGCAAGTATCTTATAAAAATAAGACTCATTGAGAGAGGAAATGGAGAAGCAACTCCCTTCATGAAAGCATCAAAAATTTTAAAAAAGAAAAGAAATGCCTACAAATTAATGTAATGAAAGATGTCAAAGATCTCTACTCTGAGAACTACAGCACTCTGAGAAAGAGATTGAAGAGAATATCAGAAAATGGAAAAGCATCCCTTGCTCCTAGGTAGGAAGAACCAATATAGTGGAAAATGGCCATACTTCCAAAACTACTATATAGATTTAATGCCATCTCTATTGAAATTCCAACAGGATACTTCATGGACCCTGAGAAAACAATCCAGCAACTCATTTGGAATCAGAAAAGACCTAGAATATCAAGAGAAATTCCTAGCAACAAAGACAAGATAGGAGATATCACAATGCCCAGCCATAAATTATAATACAAAGCTTTTGTGATAAAAGCAGCATGGTACTGGCAAAGAAACAGACCTGAGGACCAGTGGGAAAGATTAAAAGATGCAGAAACAACTCCATACACAATCAGCTACCACATCTTTGACAAAGGAGCCAATCATCCTCACTGGAGGAAAGAGAGCCTCTTTAATAAATGGTGCTAGAAAAACTGGGTCTCAACTTGCCAAAGATTAAAACTAGAACTATATTTGTCACTATGCACTAAACTAAAATCAAAGTGGATTAAAGATCTAAATATTAAATCAGAAACACTAAAACAGCTGGAAGAAAGGTTAGGTAGCATTCTTGAAGACATTGCTGTAACAAAATATTTTATGAACAAGACCTCAGTTGCCTGTGAACTAGCACACATGATCAACAAGTGGGATCTCTTCTTAGTAAAAAGCTTCTGCACAGCAAAAGAAACAAACAATAGTGTGTAGAGACAACCCACAATGTGGGAAAATCTTTTCACCAGTTCTTCTTCAGACAAAGGTCTACAATCTAGAATATATAAATAGCTTAAAAAATAAGACCTCCCAAATTGAAAGACCCAATTGAAAAATTGGCATTTGAAATGAACAGACATTTCTCAGACAACGAAGTAGAAATAGCAAATAAACATATGAAAAAATGTACATCACTAGTTATTCAAGAGATCCAGATGAAAACAATGCTGAAATTCTATCTCACCCCAGAAAGAATGTCTGCTATCAAGAAATCAACCAACAATGTGAAATAGGAAGAAAGGGGCTAAAGGTGTAGGAAAAGTGGTAAGGGTAGGGGAAAGGTAATAAGGGAAGAGAAAAAAATATGAGAAAATGTTTGTAAATGGGGAAGGGAGGAGGGGTGAAGGGAAGGCAGGGACAAGGGGAAAAAATGAGAACCAAGACCTGTTATGTAAAGGTACAAGATCCCAATAATGAATGTAACTGTATTGTATACCTAAAATGTACCAATAAACTCAATGAGGAAAAAAATAAATGAAATCAACCAACAGC